TAAGGCTAAATCAAATATCAACATTTTATCAAAAAATAATGGCCCACTGCAGTTTTCAAATCACAGGAGGAAAAATATGTATTGGCAACATTTGTCACCATACCATTTTGAAACGAAATATTGTCATGCTGCAGGGATGTTCTGTTATCCTACAGATTTATGAAAACATTGTTAACAGACACCTGGAGAAAAAGAAAAAAAATCACATCATAATGACTTTAATATAACTTAAAAGGAAAATTGAAAAAAATAAACGTAAAAAATGATAGTTCCCTGTAATATAATATTTGCAATACAAGTAAAGAAAATCCAAATGTTTCTTAATTGTTCAGCCCTACATTCGCAGCACCTAATAAATTGGCAAATCACTCGTTAGTTGTAGTATATATTAACAGTACAACTTCTGTGTTAAACTGTTAAAGATTAATACATTACTTATATTCTGTCAAATGTAATAAAATGTATAATACTAATCACAATTTCCCAATCCGAGGGTCATGTCTTCTAATGTCAGTCTCTAATGTTTTGTCCAACTCACAGTCCCACCCAAACCAAATACATAAAGTGTTTGTTAGATCTGGATACTGAGATATGTGATTTGGCTTCCTCCTTGTGGTGCGTCACCCATCAGGTGTCAAACCAGTTCATTCAGTTCTTAAGTCAGAATGGAATCAATTACTCAGGGGTGTCAAACTCAAATACACAGTGGGCCAAAATAAAAAAATGGGTACTAGTGGAGGGCCGGACTGGTTCAATGTTTATTGCAAAACATATTGAAATGTACTTATTGCACATATTAAACCTGGAACTAACAAAGCTTAAATTATTGCCTATAAAAACAACATTAAACATTAAATAATCAGTTGCATTCATTTCTTATGGCTCTATCTGCAGCTTTTCCGGAGACATTTCTTATGATTACATTTTTCCACAGGCCAACAACAGCTTCAAAAAAACAATTTCCCTCAAAGAAGAAACCAAACATGCCCTGTTGTGTCAAGAAAGAAAGTGCAGAAGGAAACATCCCTGTAAACTCAGTTTGCTGCTCTGTGATGCTAGTTCAAGCCAGATACTTGGCATCTCATCTTGGGTGCAAGTTCATCAATGTTTGGGGTCAGGCTCTGAGCGGAGGAAATCCTCAGGGTTGAGTGAAGGTGTGCGTGCAATATACCGGCGGGCCAGATCTAATAGTAATTTTAAATTATCCTGCGGGCCGAAATTAAATCCACCAAGGGCCTGATTTGGCCCCCGGGCCTTGAGTTTGACACATGTACTCTAAGTGCCATAAAACCAAAGGAAGTACAGAGGTGGTGTTGGTGTAGAACAGGGGTCGTATTGGGGAAAAGCAGAAGGTGGTTTAAGAAAAGAACAATTATACAATGAGAAAAGCAGGTATATGTATCGGATTTAAAATTCCTTTATTAGTCCCCCAGCTGTTACAGCAAAAGCAAAAAAAACAAAACAAATAGGTTCACAACCATGTCTAAAATTTTTTTTTTACATATTAAAAAGGTGTTCAGGCATTATAAAAATGTTTAAAACAGTTTGGACATTAGTATTTCTTCAAACACATTGAAAGATTCCTATAGCTCGTTTAATTCCATTTCACTTATGATGGACACAAAGTCAACTGTTGTACATCGTGAGTTAAACCCTTAGCCAGGCTCTTTAAAGTGAATCGAGTTAAAGCAGCGGTGATGTGTCCTGTGACTCTGGGTATAGATGAAAGGTTTCCCTGTCATGCACTTTGTGTTTGTACCTATTAAAACGTACGGAAGTATAATGCCACATCAGGGCTTACGGTGCATTACATGTCCTTAGATGACTTTCAAAAAGGTATGGGACTATATGATGACATTGCAATCACAAGAATCTTAAAACTAGGAGATATTTTGGAGAATTGATCGAAATCCTGCTGACTAATTAGGTCATAGAAGGAACAGTGAAATGTTTTAGGAAATCCTCTTAAATTGACTCGGAGGAAAATATACGTTTCATGACTTGACAAGGTTGGACCTAAACACATTCAAAAGCAGGAGATGGTAATAGATCACAAAAATAAAGCTTTTAATTAAGAAAAGCTAATGACAATAACATGGAGACCAGACAAGGTGAAACCAAACAATGAAAATAAAGAAAGATTAAACGTGTACAGACCAGAGGACACTAGAAACGAGAGCAGGAACACAGGCAGGACTTCTGGGAACCAGACAGGAACATCCGACAACGATCTGACAGAGAACACAAGGGGAGACAGGGTGTTTCTCAATGTCGAGGAAGGCTGCTCCAGAGCCACTATTTCAAGCATACTACGTCATCAAGTGCCACCGAAGGACTGTTCCAATGTCCAGCATACTTGGAATTCTACCGAGGCCGGCGTACTTCGTTTGGAGAAATTTCGAGTGTGTGTAGACTCCGCGGTCTTAAAATCCCCACAATGATTTGCGCACGGACCAATTTCCCCAAAAATGTGGCGGAAAATGTAAGGCGGGGCCTCTCATATGACGCACACTTGCTAGCCTGTTCCACTCTTCGTTTTCCGAATGTCAGGAAGGATTCTTGCCTTGCTTCTGAAGCAAGTGACTTGGAAGACATGTGCTACCAAGCAAGCGTACTCGACATTGAGAAACACACTCTGGTGTCCTTCGGCGGCACTCGATGACGTAGTATGCTTGAAATAGTGGCTCTGGAGCAGCCTTCCTCGACATTGAGAAACAACCATTTACACACAAGACTAATCACAGAGTCAGACACAGCTGGGGAGGGCAGGTACCAACACAAGGGCAGCAGGTGAACACAATCACACAGGCGGGAAGACTAAGACAGGAAGTAAAACCAGACAAGACACAAGGACATAATACATTTAAAAATGAAACAGGAAACAACATAACACCAGGATCACATGGATGCATCCAGTATCGTATATATGTCTTACCCTAGATTAGCACGGAGACTAGAAGCAGGGGAACTGCTAGCAGAGCGCCGTCAAAAGTAAAAAGCCAACGCTCATAAACTGCAACCATCATATTTATATGTTGCATCCTCTTATTGATCTTAACACCAAAAGAGTCCCTTAGTGCTGGGACAATGTTCAAACCTGGAAACCTCACTATTGAACACGATGGTATGACTGATTGAAGTAGAATATTATTTTAAGGACATTTATTCAAGCATATGAAAGTCGAGCATTCCTTACTATTTTGATTACGATTCAGATGCATCAAAATAGTAGATTTCTATACATTTTTCTTTTTACTGTGTGATTAGCCTTCTTGCTACTTTTAAAATGTAGTGCTTAGGTAATGGAGTGGAGATTGAACATGTGCTAGATCAGAGAAGCTATCAGAGCTTGTTCCACAGCGGTCACCTGCTCATGTTCAATGACTGAACTGTTCCATGCAGCCGTTACACACAGACACGATGACTCAGTTGTGGTCACTCACACACTAACATATTCATACATGCACACACATACACAATTGGTGCTGCTGAGTCAACGCTTCACACACAGCAGGACGTGTCATGAGGGTGGGTGGGGGCCACAGACAGGACTTAACACCACAGACACACAAGTGTGAGATGCACTTCTCACTTGTTGCAGCAACATTCGAGTAGAAGAGAAACTGTCAGAGAAATGTTCTGCTGCTGATTTCTAACACCTCTCCTTATCTATTCAACAATAATGCAATAACTATCTATTTATTGGTTCCTGAAAATGTATGGAGTAACTTAAGGTTTTTTCATTTAAAGTTAAATATCAATTTTCAAATTTAACTCATTTAAATAATAGAATTTTGGCTTACTGTATATTTTAAATAATGTATTTTAGTCTTTATTTATCTGTAATGTAAATGGTCTTTGGCAGTAGAAGGAAGGTCTAGAACCAAATCCCTGCTCAATAGAGTCAACATCCAGCCCACATAACTGCAGTAAGCCTACTGTACGTCTCACCATTGCCCCTCAAAAGGAAAGGACCAGAGACCGTTCATCAATGCAGAATCATCTATTTGATATTTGATTTACAGTTTTAAAGAACAAAAGCATGAACGGTATCACAGAAGTAAGCAGCATCCTCATAATTGAAAGGGGCCGTATTCTGCTTTTGTGGTTTTCTCTTTCCTGTGATGTGTTCTAACAGTTTTTGTGCATGTACTGAAAATGGTCTGCAAAGGCCAAAACCCTACACACTTACTAACACTTGTGCTTCTATTGGCTAGCACTCCAACACATTGTACATGAAAGGCTAAGGGGCGGGACATTTCCAGCACATGTCTAAGCGGTCGACCAATCATTACAAAGCCGGCCCGCTAACCAATCAGAGCAGACTGGGCTCTGGTTTCAGACAGAGGGTGAAAAGATGTGAAAATAAAGACCTTTTTTAACTTTAAAGCATAGAAACATGTCTCAGTAAAGGCACAAATCACAAATATGAACCTGAAGATGAGCACTATATTTCCTGAAATAAACTAAATGCAAAAGCCTTGTAATAAAGCACAAGAATACCCATCAGCCTGTGCTTTGTATTATCTTTTGTGGCTCTGGAGGAGCTTTGTTAAGTCTGACGATATAATTATGATTCAGCCTCGGCTGAAAAATACTTCAGTCTCTAGTTGGCACAAAATGAGCTCTAAGCTTCTTTATTTATCTGCATTTACATTAGTTCAACATTCTGTTCAGACTTTTGTTTGAATACTAGAGTTTGTAAAATAAGCCACACCTTTGTCAAAGCATTCAGGTGTATCTCAGTTCCTGTTTTTCCCAGTCTGGACCTTCCGGCTCCAAATCCAACCAGTTCCTCGGTCAACAATATTCCCAAGACAGTTCCTGCTGTCTGCTTCAGTCAGAGGACATGTTAAGCTGTTCACCGAGTGGTACACTGGGGGTTTCTGGAGAGTAAAGACCACATTGCTCAGAATATCTCTGAGATATGTAAAATTACTTCTGCGTCTGAGACCCCGTTCAGATGGTGCTGCTGCTTACATCTGTCTCACTGTCCACAGGTGACGAGGAGCTCTACCTCCAACAAGCTGTGGTATTTATCGAGGACGCCATACAGGTCAGCACTTTCCCTACTTATTTTCTCTTCTGTAAAGTTATAGAATAATGTAAATGCTAACGTGAACAGAACAGTATGATATGTGGGTGGGGTTAGACCTCAGAGACTTCTTTCTTACAATGTGTCCTGTCTTTACTGTAAGCTGTCTACCATAACAATGCCCACCATAGATTACTATGTGAAAATATAAGGTCTTTGATCACCTGGGTTGTGAGGGTTACTTTAAAAATATATTGCGTTACAATTACTAGTTACCTGTAAAAATGATGTTATCAAAATATAAAAGTAATGTAACCAGATTACTCTCCATTTAAGTGTGTTATGTAAGACCACTGAACAATGTGACCTTAGAAAAGAGGACACCAAGATATTTAGTATCATTATGTGTCCTCTGCTCAGAGATTTTATTGATAGGAAAAGCTGCCTTTCATGAAGCATATTCAGGCAGCAGCCTATACACCAACACTGAAACACATGAGCACATACTACAGTTTGAAAAGCAGAAATCTGAGCTGACAGAAAATGCTCCGTTTTAGTTTAACACACACAGTTAAGCTCACACACACTGTTTTATGAACATATAGGTTCACCTGCTGAATTAAAAACTGAACAAATGAAGCAAAGAAAGACAAAACCATAAAGCAGATTCAGGCAGTAGGCGTATAGATTCACACTTAAAGTATTATCCTACAGAACAGTACAGCTCACAGAGAAGAGATAACATCTGATCCTTTTCAACAAACACTATATGCTCTTTTCCTTTTTTAATAACATTATTATCCTGCTAGTAATCCCAATAGTGTACAATGTAATTGTGATTACGTCTTCTTCTCTTCGTTTGCTTGTGTATAGTACCGGTCCATAAACCACCGGGTGGACGCCCGCTCCCTCCGCCTGTATCGCTGGTACTACTCCAGGATATGCCAGTGGTAAGTTCTATGTTCACAAATAAAACTGTACCTGAGTTGCAACAAGTAGAAGTATAAGGGCCTCAGGGACAGACACTGTAGAGTTGTGTGTTTTAAACTAATAGGCCTTTTTCACAGCTTATTTGAATTCCATTTAACTGCTCTAGAACTGAACCATTGCTATTCGTAACACATGTGCTTTACCTGCTATAACAAGTGCTGTGAAAGAATTCCTGTGATTTCTAACGCAAATCTCTGCTGATATAGAGTATATCGTCATGAGGTGTTTAGGTGTTCTGAAAATACAGTTAACGAGAGAGACTGATTACGAAAAATAAACCATTTTGGAAAAAAATGACTACTAAACTAAGCATTTCCAATCTACTTTTCTATCTGTTTTATTTGTTGCCAGGCTATTCATTTATTTGGGCATTCATATATGTTTACTTATATAACCTATGTATATCTACGGATATATAGATTATTTCACTTACTTCTCAATTTTTAAGCCTATACAATTAAAGTCTACACCTTCAAATGTGTTTTTTTCTGATTTCAGATAACTAAAACACAAAAATAAACTACTGTAGGTAATGATGTATCAGTTTTAGCTATTTCATTAATCAAATCTGAAGCAAAAATAAAATCGTATTATTATTGTGCCAATAAAGGTTAGACAGATCACATGAAGAAGTCGGTGTCTGCTGCATCTGTGTCTGTCATTTTGATGAAGCAAACATTTAGCTATCTATTCTACTTCATCTAATAAAACTGAATTAGAATTGTTTCCCCTACATATTATAGATATTGGTAATTTTGACAATGTCCTGCAAATGTAAAAGGGGTAAGCCCCTGTGAGATATGACAGTGGGTCTGTGGGTACCTCAGGTGCTTGCCCCACGGGAACGCATACGTCAAAACGCATAGGATTAACGCAATCGCAATCGCCAAAAAGCTTCCGTCCACACGCAATATACACTGGATAGTGTCTGTTCACACGAGACAGCTCCGTTTAGATCCAACCGCTGGAAAAAGCTGCAGTACATATGCCGAGCCTGTACGTGGCGCTGTAACTTCCTCCACAAAAGCAACGAAGAAGCATGGTCGTCATGGTTGCCCTTCTGTTTATTCACCGTGGTGGGGGCCGAGGGAACCGGGCAGAGTTTTTCGCCGGTCAACGTGTGTAAAAGTTTAAATCTTCCGGACAAAATTATAAAAGTGCCGGTCAAAGGTCTTCTTTGTTATTTATTAAGCTTTAAAACAAATGAATAACGAATATATATAATAATAAAATACACGGAGCCTGTCTCTTTTTCCTCTCTTCTGACAGCGTCAGTGTCTGTCTCATGCAGCAGCTGATCCAGTAATGAGTGACCCGACAGTAAAAAATAAACATATTTATAACTAGTTTAGGTAGTTTGAGAGGTAATTAAAATAGCTAAGGGTGATGATCTGACTTGAAGTGTGTGTTTTGCTCCCGCTGCATCACAGCGGGAGGAGCTGCGTGTCTCTGTCCTGTCAGATTAGACTTCACTCGCGTTTATGTCCATATCGAGATAAAGATAAATAATCTGAATTCAGTGTGCAGTGTACTTTTGCGGGGGTGAGCAGCAGAGGCGGGGAGAGGCGGGGCTATTGCGTCATCATTATCACAAAATAATCGTATAGAGGCGATCACACGAAGCCGTATGACCCCCCAGAGCGCTCCGTTCCCAGATCTATCCACCTTTGGACCAGTTATCGTTTGCGGGGTCCGTTTCTATCGTTTAGTTACGGCCTCGTGTGGCAAAAAGGGCTATACGCAAGAGAAATATGCAGATACAACCCGTTTTCGTCCTCGTGGGGCACCAGCCTCAGATGGGAGGATGAGGGTTAACAATAACACTGTTTTGACGAGTTTAACTTGAGAAAGCACCATTTGGTAAGAGTCGTATGTATTATCTCGTGAAGTTTACATTTGTAAATGAAACGTTTTTTTCTACGATGCCTACATCACCAGGTTCCTGGGCCTCACCATTGCGGTGTTGTTGTTGCTGGCGTTTGTGGAGCGGCCCTCCTCCCTGTCCATCTCCTCTGACCCCCGGTTCCGCTCCCCCGCCTGGCAGCCCCCCTGCGGCTTCACTGAGAGCTTCGAGATGCTCTGCCTCCTCATCTTCTGTCTGGACCTCGCTGTGAAGGTAAGCCGGAGGGGGGAACCTCTCCAGGATCATCCCTGACATGGATCATATGTGATGTTATTGCCTTTAAGGCTGCACAATCTATCTAGATGTTATTGAAATGGCAATATGGAATACAGTATGCAAATTGAGTAAGCACAATATTTGCTAATGGAAATATGTATGTATGTATATATGTTTTCAAGTCATCAAGTCTCAAATCATGTCAGTTAAAATGATTGCAATTAGTTATTTTTTCCAAATTGTGCAACCTTAACCGCCTCGTTATTGGTCCGTTTGAACCACTGCTTCACACCATGTGTTTTGTCCTCAGAGCTACCTGATTGGCTGGGAGGAATTCAGAAAGAACAAATGGCTGATCGCCTACACAGCAGTCATTGTGTTCTCCGTCATCGACTGGTTGCTCTCTGTCAGCATGGTGTGTGGTGAGGTGAGGATCTCCCTAACACCCCTCTGAGCATGTTCTGCCAAGAGGAGTGCAGCACAACGTCCAGCAGAAGCATTCAGAGACCATGTGGTCATACAGGAGTACATCCTAAACTTGTTTAGTGTGTGGGAAAAGAAAAGCTGGAGTTGTAACCTCTGGCTGTAGCTGTAGAGAGGTTATTGGCGGAGTACAAATAAGACTGTAGTCCACTCTCATTATGAACACAAATGAAAGGCTAACCAAGTAGAGACTAGGGATGCCAGAAACTGACCATGATCAAATTCGAAAATCGGATAGCCCTGGTGAATATTAATCGATTATTCGCCGCCCCCCCCCCCCCCCCCCCCCCCCCCCCCCCCGCGGGAGAGGGGGAAAAAAAGTATTTTCGCAGAGCTTGCATTTTACTTCATTTGCACTTGTCAGTTCGAAGTAGTTCCACGAGGAACTCTTCTTTGTTCATCTTTAGTTGTGTTGTTCTCACTGTTCTGTATATCGCCAATAAATCAATCGCACGTGTGACGGAGAAGGGGGGGGGCGGGGGGCGGGGGCGGTGTGTAGCAGGCAGCAGCAGGCAGCAGCAGTCTGCTGGCTTCCTCCAAGTTTACAGTAAAACAAACTGGTGGTGTGACCAATGGCCATTTACAATTATTAATACTATTACTATTATTAGATTAGTCTATATTTTGGTTGAAACTAAGCCAGGAAAAAAAAAGAAAAACATAAATAATAATAAAAAAATATATAAATAAAATCGAATTGTAACGAATATTCGAAAAATCGAATAATCGCTGGCATCCCTAGTAGAGACCTATTGACTGACAGAGGTCCTGCTGCTTTTCACATCAACCCATGATGGCAGAGTATTTGAGCTAGGGTTACAATTATTCTAATGTTCCTGCCTACACCTCAATTTCTTTCTCCAATAAAGAAATTATCTTGTTATATTTCAAATAGCTTGTCGATTTATCAAAAATAATGCCTTCTTGAAATGACCCTTTATTTGGACATGAGGACCTTCTGCAAGTGCAAGTCTTGTGATTCTTCACTGGTGGCTCTGATGACCCCAGAGTGCTTTAAACATAAGATGTTATACATAAGTCTCAGAGGCAAGGTCAAGAGCGTACAACTGCTCTGTTAAAGAAACATATCTGTATGAATGAAAAGTAGCAGCGGCAGTATAGTAAAGGATATCAAATGTTGTATATTGTAAATATACAGTGCATCTTTTAATCCACATCTCATATTTAAGACGTTTAAAAGCTCTTAAAACATCGAAGCAGACTTTGGAGTCTAGTATATATATTTGCCTATACACTTCAACTAAACTGAGCTGGTGATTTTTAAAGAACACTTATATCCATATACTGTATGTACAGAGTTAGACTTGTTGAGTTCAAACTCCCAAATACATTCCTAAGCATACTCTGTGTTGAGAAGTAGTGAATTAAATGAATCATGAATCATACTGCATTAAAAAGGGATCTTGTCTTTTCTCTGTTCGTCAGAGACTTAGAGTGCGGCGACTCCTCCGGCCCTTCTTCCTCCTGCAGAACTCTTCCCTGATGAAAAAGACGCTGAAGTGCATCAAGAGGACTCTTCCAGAGATTGCCAGGTATCTGACTTGTTGAAGCCGACAGAGCTCAGGCCCAAGAGTGAAAATACAAATGAGAATTTACGGAGACTGGATTGTGGCTGCTGACTTTTCCCTGTCACTGCCATGCACAGACTGGGTGTCTGGTTTGGTTGATGTACAGGATGTGCAGCAGTGAAACGTGCACAATGGCTCGCTGTAGGTAAATATAGATCAGTGATCCGTTGTGCTTATTATTAAATACTTTGTCAGCAAGTCACACAGACCAGTGATCACATAGCTCCGAAAAAGACATGTACATCACAGTCATCACAGTTAATGTGATGACAACTGATACAAAAATCATTATCTTGAACAATAAGAAGGATTTATTTAAGATTATATATGGTTCTAAAGATTTGTTATTCAGAGAAGAATGTTAAAAGACATGTTAGGTGACAATTTATTTATACTTAAAAATGTAAAGGGAAAGTCAATTGCGACTTCCATTTCCTTACGAATCATCCAATTTTAGAGTTTTAAAATCGTTGTATGTTTTTCCATCTAACAGAAATGTAGATTCTGTTGACACCTGATAAACAGTCTCCAGTTTGGCTCCATTCACTTTCTGATTCTGGGTCATTTTTGGAACATTTTCGGTTATGTTTTGTTTGCTAAACTTGTTGTATTGCTGACTGGCCTATGACTTCACTATAGTAACAGCTACTGAGGCTCATGGGTATTGTAGTACTGATTGTTAAGAAACAAAGTTGAAATGAGTCAAACTAATGGTCATAGCATCAACCTTTGATTGTGTGTGTGTGTGTGTGTGTGTGTGTGTGTGTGTGTGTGTGTGTGTGTGTGTGTGTGTGTGTGTGTGTGTGTGTGTGTGTGTGTGTGTGTGTGTGTGTGTGTGTGTGTGTGTGTGTGTGTGTGTGTGTGGTGTGTGTGTGTGTGTGTGTGTGTGTGTGTGTGTGTGTGTGTGTGTGTGTGTGTGTGTGTGTGTGTGTGTGTGTGTGTGTGTGTGTGTGTGTGTGTGTGTGTGTGTGTGTGTGTGTGTGTGTGTGTGTGTGTGTGTGTGTGTGTGTGTGTGTGTGTGTGTGTGTGTGTTCCTGTCTGCAGTGTCATCTTGCTGCTGGCGCTCCACCTCTGCCTCTTCACCATGATCGGCATGCTGCTGTTTGCTAAAAGCGAGGTGAGTTCAGGTCATTTTGGTCACGCTCTGTAAAAGTCATTTTCTTCCTGATCAGCAGTAATCCAGTGACTATTGTCAGTATATCCATGGTTACCATCTTAACAGAAGTTGCTAATAACGCCACAATTTAGAATGGTTCTCAAAATAGAAAGTATTACAAAAGGAACCGTCTTTTTAATAGTAACATTTAACTGGAATGAATTTACATCTTAAATTAATAATAACATTCAGTGTTTTTGTGACTGATCATAACTCAGCTTTATGAACACACATACATATAGCACGGTTTAAGAAACGGGCTCCATGTTACAAGAGGGGTCAGATTATTAAGAACGAGAACAGTTTTAACATATATATAGTTTTTTGTAAACATATGATATAGGCATGGTTAAAAATGTGCGAGGGTGATGACGTCTGAGCATTGTCCCCGGACAGCCCCGGCACAATTTAACCCCTGCCCACTAGTATGAATGTTTTGATTACTGTAAGTAATACTTTATGAAATATATGCATAACCTTTTAGGACTACATATCTACAATATGATGTTCACTTTTGGTTAAACATAATATTTAACATAACATACTGTATGAGCACTACAGTTATGGCATAAGATGGAAAATGCTGAATAAGCATTGAACTTTGCACTTTGCAAGGAATTGTGGGACAGCACTGTCTCCTGTCCTTTCATAAAGGATGGTCCACTGTGTCGTATTAGTATAGTTATACGACACAGACTTCCTAGTCTCGAGGAACTGAAAGACTGCAAATAATGAAATTGAGGGACTGGAACCAAATGTTTTATATCTTATTTCAGTATCATATAAAAGTGTATGTAGAACAAAGTAAGGTTAGCCACTCTCCTTCTGTTTTTGTGTTCAGGATCCGAAGCGGAACGGGGAGTGGGAGTTACATTTCAAGGACTTCTCCAGCTCTCTCACCTCTCTGCTGGTGCTGCTCACCACAGCCAACAACCCTGATGGTACACAATCACTCACATAACACACATGTCTGTTCATAGTTTCTGTGAAGAGCTCTTTTCAACATTTCTCTGTCCTGTCACAGTGATGATCCCTGCCTACTCCCTGAACAGAGGCTACTCCGTTTTCTTTGTGAGCTTCAGCGTGATTGGTAAGCAGTGATTATTACAGTCTGTGTCAATGCAGCAGATTTAGTTTTTTGTCAAAGCAAAAACAATGTGTTTTTAGTGTTTCTGAGGGACTTTGTTGTGCTTCCTGGCAGGAACTTACTGCCTGATGAACCTACTGACAGCCATCATCTATAACCAGTTCAGGGGCTATTTACTGGTGAGTCACACACACAGTACGACATCACTCTGGGAGTTGACTAGCAGTTACAGCCTGATACATTCTTACTGGAAGCCACTGGAAGCACAGTGCTATTTTTTTAACTTTCCCAGGCATGCGTTGGTTTATATTCATTTCAGTTTTAGGAAAAATCCTTCAGCTTGCTACTGTATGAATGGTGAAGTCCATAAAACATAATTAAATGTGTTTAGTTTAGGTTCTCTTTGAAGCCAAACTGTAACACATGTATACAACAAAATAAAACCAATGACTGTCCTGAAAGGTAGGACCAATACTTATGGAAATGGTCATCAAAATTGAGTTTGTAGTAGTGCCTTAATAACATGTACCTGTATACCTTCAATTCCATGTGTATGGCCCTTTTCCCAGGTCACCCGCCTACTTGGCAAAGTTTCTGAAACAGGTTTCTGAGTTGTGACTGCCATCTGCTGGAATATAAGGGGTAGCTAGCTGGGTTTACCATTCTGACAAAAATAAATGTCATGAGTCAGTTCACACGCAGAACAAAAGGGGCGCAAGTAAGGATAACACATGCCTAGCTTTATTTAAAGGTAAAGCTGGAACAGAAAACATGTCTGCAAGAAACAAAGGGGAGTGTAAAAATACAAAGAAAAATGTCAAAAACTAAATGAGGAACAACTGCGATGGCTCAAGGAAACACAGGCAGAAAATCCATGAGGGAACATGGGGGATAACTAGTGATGGCAGTTTGACACTGAAGCTTCGATACGTGCTTCAAACCCTGGTTTTCCTATTCCATAGAAGCAGTGCTTCGAAGCTTGCTTCAAATCACGTGACATATGACGTCCGAAGCAGCACTGCTTCATTTCCTGAATGAATCAACTCACTGGTTCGCCGTCCAATCAGGTGTCTCGTCTCGATTCTGACAGGTGACAGGTTGAAACAGTTTCAAATTTGAGCGCTTCAACACTTTATAACCGCTCTAAACAATGCGCAATGTGTGGGTTGTTGTTGTAGTTTGCGTTGTTGCTGTTGAGTTGGTATTGCATTTGTATTGGATCATTATAGAGCAAGCCAGGAAGAAAGATAGGTCGTTCTGGCTCGGGAAACACTTCAAAATGTGGAGAAGTTGTGAACTATGAGTATTAAAAAAAAAAGTTAAACAGTTTAAAGAATAGATAGCCCAGTGGAGAGAGCAGGCGGCCCGGCCCGCATGCGGCGACGTCCTCCGCGCAACTGGAATCCTGGACTGGATGAACTTTTAATCATTGCCCGCTTTTCACTTTAATACTATAACTGATAAAAGGCCCTCTCCGGCCAAAAAAATGCCTTTAGAAAAATACAAAATAAAAAGAATAATGTAGGCTACCTCAATAAAGATCTTTGAGTGTTCCCCATCCCACATAATCACCCCCTGCCATAATTACACAAGCACACCCAACCAATGCCACATTTTCCAGCCCTCTCTTCTCAATAATAAATTACGGGCCAAAAGTTTTTGGCTGCATCTACGCACACACTGTACCACACACACCTACTACACCACACACACACACCTACAGCTCCTAAAGCATATCATCAGGCTACAGCCGTTGTGTATTTTATTATGTGAAGCACTAAATGGTTTTAGAAAAATATCGAGTCTTTGTTTGTAGATATCTACTAAACTAAAGCAAATAAAGAGAGTAGGCCTGTTATACTGAGTGATATCTATTATACACACTGCTCTGCTTTCTGCACGGACCTCACAGCTGTTCTCACTGAAAACATCACGTCGCGATGAAAGCAGTTAATAAAATAATATCCAGGGGATGCATGCAGAGCTGTCATTGGCTGAGATCAGTCCGGCCGTGCGTCACGACTCTTTGAAACATCTCTGTTCCCGGAAATGCATCCACGAAGGAGCCATGGAGGACCCATCAGTGTATCCTCGGTTATAGCTCCTCCAGAGAGCCTCCTCGACGCTCGGTCCTCGATGTGCATTTAGAGAAATGAGATGTCCTTCAACATGGCGCGCTAAAATTAATTTCCGGGTCACTACCGGAGGACCGAGTAGTCGAGGAGGGGGATTTGATGAAATGAGAACGGCCCCCGGAAAGACTGGCTTATATACACACAGAAACCAATCACACTGACGAGACACAGCTGGAGAGAGCAGGTTGATCAATCACAGGTGGAAAGAATAGAGGTGGGGCAAACAATCACAAAGGCGGAAAAACACCAAGACAGGAAGTGAAACCCTACATGACCCAAGAGGTTCATCTCAAGGTTCATCTCAATGTCCCTCCTCGACTCCTCTCTCCCCCTCCTCCGGGACTTGACCCGGAAATCGATCAAGACACGCCATGTTGAAGGACGTCCCAATCTCTTAAATGCACAC